TGTGTGTGTACATTAAAGGATGGCTTGCAGCACTTGATTCTTGCCTTCCACCTTGAGGGTCCTGAGTGTCAAACTCTCAAGTCTTCTGGCTTGGAGGCAGCATCTTTACTTGCTGATGCTTTTCAGTAGCCTGTGGAGTTTGAAGTTTGTTTGTTTGTTTGTTTTATGCAGGATGATTGTTAACTCACTGTGTAGCCAAGAACTTCTATCTTCCTGATCTTTATCTCCCTAGTGCTGGGATGCTGGGCATGTTTTCACCACACCTGTTTTATTCGGTCCTGGGGACTGAACTCGGAGCTTGTGCATGCTAATCAAGCACTCTACCAATGGATCGACATCTCCAGCCATGAGTGATCACAGGGCACTGTGGTTTCTTTTTTAATATCTGTGTGATGTTGTAATACGGCATATGTGTGTGGGACTGTTTAGCACAGTAATTCAGAGAGAGAGAGAGAGAGAGAGAGAGAGAGAGAGAGAGAGAGAGAAAGAGGCAGTCTGCGTGGGAGATTGAGTCTGCAGATTCCTGTGTAGGAAGGTGTGTCTGTTCTGTTGCGTCTCTGTGCATGTCACTCTTCTATCCCTCTGCCATATCCCACACAGGAACCCAGACAAGAAAACCACTTTCAAGTTGTTGCACGTGCTGCGCCTTCTGCTTTAAATGTCTTTCCTGAGGATGTGCCTCAGTTTATAAAGTGACTACCTAGCGTGCATGAAGGCCTGAGTTCCAACACCACATAAGACAGGCCTCAGTGGCACAGACCTGTAATGCCAGCACTTCTTAATTGAAGGTAGTTCAAGGTCACCCCTCAGCTACACTCGGAGTATAAGGCCAGCAGAGGCTTATATAGGACCCTGTCCAAACAAACAAACAACAGCAGCACAAACCTCATACTTCAGATCTCAGATCTAACACTCCTCCAGGAAGTCATTCTTGCCTCCCCCAGGTGGACAAGGTCTTCACACACACACACACACACACACACACACACCCCGAAAGGTCCCTCATTCCAGTTTTATTCACTTTGTTGAACTCAGGCTACTTGTAATATACTCTAGAGTGCTTCTGTTAAATCTCTCAGTTAAATACTGTAACTCATATGAACTTTTGGTTAGGTTAGGCTTTTTTTTTTTTTTTAAGCTGGGAAAAGGAGAGAGAGAGATCAAGACAGCATCTTACTTTATAACCCAGGCTGGCCTGGACCTCATGATGAATCTTCCTCTTCAGCCTCTCAAATGCTGGGATTGCAAGGGTGAGCCACCAAGCCAGGCGTCTCTTAAGCCTCCCTCACATTCATTAGGGAGATACTATTACTATTCCTCTGTGCAGAGGAAATAATAGGATGATGGCTTGCCCAAGGTCATGTAGCTTCGGGAACAATCCAAACTGGATTCGAATTAATTCCAACAGATACTGCCTCAAAAAAAAAAATCAAAAGAAAATTCACTTCCTCCATGATCCCACCGGCACTGACAGGGATAGTCAAATAGTAACTGTGCCTAGAAATTAGATTCAGATTCTGACTTTCAGTCAGACTTTTCAGGAGTATGTTGATTCCTGTGGACATACATAAAATGAACATATATACCAACATCTATTTTCCAGAATGATTGTTAGTTGTGGTCAGGAGTGGAGGTGGGTGAGGCTGATACACGGCCTTAAAGCACTTAGTGTTAGTGTCTAGCCTGAGGGCTTAAAGACTCTCAAATAGAAAGCTACACGGTGGGGTCTGGAGACGTTACTGGAGGCTAGACTGGCCATGGGTTCTCAGAAAGAGTTTGGGTTTTCTCTTAAGAGAGTTGGGGAGTCATGGAAGGCTGGGGAGGGTGCCAGTCTTACAGTGTTCTAGCAAGATGCCTCTAACTGCCATATGGAAGGTAAACTGGAGGAGGGACAATGAATGTAAGCATCAGAGGAGGCTGATGCTGGGATCCAGGCACAGGAAATGCAGACAGCAACTCAGGGTGTCTTTTAAGAGATCCCCTTGATGTGGTTGTTTGTGCTTGTAACAGGGACTCAGGCATCCCAGTCTGGCCTTGAACTTGAAATTCTGATCCTTTTGCCTCTACCTATCAAGCATTCAGACTACAGAGGTACATCTTTCAGCCTGGTTTATATGAGGCTGGGGATGGAATACAAGCCTGGAGCATGCTAGGCAAGCACTCTACCAGCTGAGCTACATCCATGGCCCTTTAAAAGATTTTTCTGGGACTTGATATAATGGTGCAGAGCTTTAATCCCAACATTTGGAAGACACAGGTAGCTAGGTTGCTGAGTTCAAGAGCAGCCAGGAAAACCATGAAAAACCCTGTCTCAAAATTTAAAAAAATAAATAAATAAAATAAAATAATAAAGATGCTGTTGGGCCCGGAACAAACACAGTACAACTGATACTTGCTCAAGACTTGAAGATCGGGACACCCTGTTAATAATTCAAAAACAGCTTTGATTTGCAACGTTCAAGTTTTATTTTGTTTGCTTGAGAAACTACCCATTTTCCAGAAGTGTCACTGGGGCAACAGGAGATACACTTGTTCAAGGTCACACGAGTAACTGGCAGCACCCAGCTCCAGAGCAAGCTCCCGGTTGGGCAGGGTGCTGCCTTGAAAGCAGCCCCATCCGCCGGAGGTATCGCAACCCAATTACCAAACCTTAACAAGCCGGGATCTCCAAGGCCCAAGAAACTTTTGCAACCTCTTAAACTTTGGGAGCAGGCGCCCTCCGGGCCTGACCCCACACCCAGGGCCCCCTCTCTCCTTTCTGATTGGCTAGAGTACTGTCTGGATACCCCCTGGTCACCTTGTCCTCCGGGCGCTCTGTTGCGGGGGTGGGGGGGGAGCTCGCCGCGCAGGCGCATCAGGAGTTCCTTTGGGCCCGCGCTTTACGACACTTGTGCGGCAGCGGCGGCGGTCACTCGGCACTCCTTCGCGACGGTTCGGCCTGGAGCCGCGAGCGGCCGTTGCCAGGGTGGGGGTCGCTTTGCGGCATGGCGATGGCGGAGGGCGAGAGGACTGAGTGTGCTGAGCCCCCCCGGGACGAACCCCCAGCCGATGGCAGTCTGAAGCGGGCAGAGGAGCTCAAGACACAAGCCAACGATTACTTCAAAGGTGCGTCCGGCCCGGACCGGGGTGAGGGAGGGTGGACAGCGGCCCAGGCCGTGGGGGTGCCAGGCCCCGCGGGGAACCATGGCAACGCGGAGCGGCAGCCTGCGCGCCGGGCAGGCACTACTGAGTAGCCCGGCGCGAGGAGGAGGCCCAGGATGGACGACAGACGGGGGAGAGCTACTGCGAAGTGGAGTACCAAGCAGAAGCCACTCACTGGGGAGACTGAGGCAGGCGCTGCTAAACGATAGGGGACGAGCAGGGGGCCGACATGTGAGTGCTACCAAATGTGAGACCTGGACAGAGGTGCTAAATGGTGGTCAGACCTGAAGAGGGCGCTGCCAAGTAGTGACATGTGTTTAGGGCAGTGATGGCGCTGCCGAGCGGGGAGGCCTGAGGTGAGTATGACCAACTGAGGATAGAAGGCCCAATAGAGAAGGGGATTATGGGGATGGAGGTGGATAATTGTATTGGAAGGCGACTTGGGGTGATCCAAGGAAAGGAATGGGGTATAGAGGTGGAGCAGGAAGGAATAGGGTGATCTTGGGTTAAGAGTGCGATGTGGGAGGACATGTCTCCGTTCATTCATTCTTTCAGTACACTTGTGTTAAATAAGTGTCATGTGCCACGGTCTGTGTATGGCTCTGAGGCGATAGCAATGAATGAAACACATGACTCTGATTTAAGCAGAACCAATAATTGCTAACTTGTGATGATCACTTTGGGTCAAAGTGACAAAGTAGGGAATACAGCTTAGAGTCTGCTTTAGATGGTGAGGTCGGGAGTGCCTGGAGAAAGAGGCTTTTTAAGGAGAATTGGGAAGGAGTTTTACACGTGGGTCTGACCATTGATCTAGTGCAAAGACCCTGGGGTGGAGAATGAATGAAAACAGACTGGCTTAGTTGAAGCTTGAGCAAACTGGGGGTATGAGGGAAAGACTGATACAAGATAAGGTTAGGATAAGGGGCCAGAGCATGCAAAATCTGTGAAATCGTTGCAAAGACAAGTTTTGGATTTCCTCGGCTGTCCAAAAAAGAGCATTGAGTAGGTAGATGGGCCAGTCTAGACTGGAGAAAATTTTGGGTGTAACCAGCCTATATGGTTGGAGGCGCCCTGGGATTGGATGAAGTCACCCAAGAGTGGGATCTAGAGAGAACTTAGAATGGCATTTTCATGTTTACATTGGAAAAGGGGCCACTGAGGAGAAGTGACTGAGAGGAAAGAGAAACCAGGAAAGGTGCCACAGGCTAAGAGAACAAGGTTCTTCCAGAAAGAAAGCCATACCCAGTTACCTAGCCCCAGGTATTGTCCGTTGGAGGTTTTGCCCCCAGATGACTGTGGTGATGTTAACAGAGCAGTTGTAGATGGTGAAGAGGCTGATAGCGCAGGAGACCCTGGCTGGTGAACGCAAGTGAAGAATTGGAGACAACAGGCACAAGTGTCTCGGTTCTGAAGTGGAATGGAGAATCGAGAGCAGATGCCAAGACGGAGTAGGTGGGGTCCCTAGGAAGGCTTTTTCAGATATGGCCCGAAAGAGAAACAGACCCAGCTGTAACAGATCTGGAGGAGGTGGGGAAGGGTGAGGAGGATTTAGAGTGGAAAGGTGGTCCCCATGGGGATAAGCCCAGACATAGTGATGATGCCTGTCATCCCAGCTCTCGGGAGGCTGAAGCAGGAGGATTGTGAAGACCTAACTAGGAGAGAGGTGAGGCCAGAGTTAGAGGGCCAACTGGGTTTATGAGTGTCATCCTACGGTGGCAAGGAACTGTGGAGGGGTTTAAGAGAGTGGTCCATTTAGTTTGGGTACAGGTACTGGTTCTCCCTGCTGTTCAGAGACTGGATTCAAAGGCCAGACTGGAGAGAGGAGACTGGGAGGGGGGAGGACAGGTGAGGGGTGGAGCCTTGGACCAGGCTGGTGGGAGGAACTGAGGCTGGCTGCCTGGAGAGGGGGAGGGGAGCAGGTGGCTAAGGCCCAAAGGTGAGTGGAGCCTGGCACCAAGGTGAGTGGGGCAGGAGTGGGGGGGGCTAGAAGGGTTAGGAGGCAGCGGCAGACAGAAGGGTACAGCGGGCTGTGGGAGAGGACTTGAGCTGTCAGCTGAGGCCCTGGAGAACTAAAGCTGGTCCACATTCAAGCCTTCTAAAAGACAGGGGGCAGGAAGCTGGGAGGCCAAGATCCAGGCTAGAGCAGAATAGAACTCTGCAGGGGAGGGCAGAGCTTAGGGCGGGTGAGGCTGCTAGAAGAAAGGGAAGTTAATGAGTGTGAGAGATACTATCGGGACAGTATGCCCAGCTTGCAGGATTTGGAAGATTGGAGGCTGCCAGCACCTGGTGGCCAGGCCCAGCTGTGTATTGGTTGGAGGCACAACCATCTTTCACTGGGTCCTGAAAAGATCAACCAGAAACTGGGCTACTGCTGCTGAGGACAAGTGGGGGAAGGAGTTAGCCATCGGGAGGGACCCTTCACCCCCACCCCTACCTTCCAGGTCCTGAGTTTCAGGCTCTCAGGAACCTAGGGCTGGGCAAGCAGCCAAAGGGGCCTGGCCTGGAGCTGGCTTGAAGGAGTACCCTTCCTGATCCAGACCTCCCGCTACTGTGGGCAGGCAGTGGCAAGCACAGAACCCCAGGCTCAGACTGTAAGGAGTCCAATAAAAAAGAATAATTGCAGCTGACTTTCATTGCACCCCTAAGGTGGCCAGGTACTCCTGAGCTGAAGCCTGCCTGAGGCATTGTGGGTGGCAGGGAGCAGCCACTTTGGTTTATAGAGGAAGCCAACTCAGAGTGAAACTTCTTGCCCAGGGTCAGAGTGTGTGAGCAGAGGCGGATATCCTCTTCCTCTTCCACGTGCTCAGTTCAGCTCTCCCTGATAGACCCTCCTGGTCTCACTGGGGAGAAAGGTACCCTGTGGAGGAAAGGGGGGAATCTCAGGGACTCAGAAGATCCCTACCCCCAAACATAGAGGGTTCCTCGGTGAGTGCAACCTACTGTAAGGGTTCTAGGGACAGAGCCTAGCCCCTGGCTCAGTCAGGGTCCAAGGGAAGCAAGCTTCTGCTCCTTCTTCTCCCTGAGGAAGAAGGCTGCGCTCACCCAAGGGTCTTCGTGGTCTCAGAGTTGAGGGTGAGGAGTACCGCATCATGATTCAGGGGTTTCCTCTGTGAACACAGATACGCAGTTGAACCCCACTGTACCCAGAGGTGACACTACTGCAGCTGGAGGATGGCCCCAGGCTGGCGTGTCACAGCTGGTAGATGCCTTCATGGTGGAGGCCTCCTGTTCCCCTGTACTCTCTTCCCTCCTCTGTTGGTGTGGGTGAGGCAGAGTCCATCCGGGCTCTCGGGTGCTTACTTGTGGCATAAGGAAAGGTCTGAGGCTTCAGGGAGAAGCTCTCCAACTGCACTTAAGTGCCTGCCGCACTCCCTCATCCACTTGATGAAGTCTCACCTCTCTGGTTGAAGTACTGACCAGCAGCCTCTGGAGCCCAGCCAGGACAGCAAAGCCCTCAGAGGTGCTGGCATTCCAGGGAGGGTTCTTCTAAGCTGCACTGCCTGTGAGTCTTTCTGCCTTTGGTGGCTTCGGGGAAGTTCTAGGTCCTGCCATCTTAAGGTTCACAGGCCTGGGAGACCACCAGAGTGGCAGAGCTGGAACACAGAAGCTGGGGGAGGTCACATAGGGCTTCCTGAGAGGAGACATTTGTACCTTGTGATGGAAGTCCAGGAAGGACTGCTGGTCCTCTAGGACCAGCTGTTCCAGCTCTGGTCTCGGTGTCTACTGCTTCCCTTCCTTCATTCTCCCTTCTTCTAGCCTCCTGGGCCGCTTCCTTCCCCAGTCCTGATGCCTAGTACTTCAAGCTCACATTTCTTCCCCAGAGCTTGACTCAGGCCCCTGGGCTGTCTGCACCCTGAGCACTTTGTCACTATTATCTGGGGTCAGATCTTGCTCCTGGAAGGACCTGAAGTCCCTTGAGGGCAGGTGTCCCTAGACAAGGAGGTAGACACCATCCTTCATAGTGTGTGGGTTTAGCAAACAGGACATGAAGGTCACAGCAGAGCAGTGAAGTGGGGTCAGGCCGAAACACCTCCAGGCTGAGTGGTAGGAGAAACTCAAGTACCGAGAGCATGTTTAAGTCGTCCAAGTATACCCAGCCTAACAGAAGTGGAGCCAGGCCACTTTCCCGGTATCTCAGCCTGCACCGTGCCAGGTTCCCACAGGACACTTAGTAGGGTGGGAATGGAGGCACTGCCATTCTGCCTGCCTCAGAACCCCCACCTGCCTCTTGACAGATAACATGAAGCACAGGCTCTCCTTCTTTCAACTTGAACCGTACCTCATCTGGAGATGAGGTAATATGGCTTTCTCCCTCAGGTTGCTTGAAGGCACATATGTCCTAGGGTGTCGTATGGCCCTGGCACATGGTCCTCCAGCCTGGGCCTTGGTTCTGTTGTTTGTTTAATGAATCCTTCGGAGAGGTAGGTCAGACCTACCTCTGCCAGTACAGACTGGGACTCTGACCTTGAACTAGCCCTCTAGCTTGTATCAGGTGAGTACCAGATGGTGCTATGCTGAGGAGATAGGAGGATCCCACAGGTTGATAGAGAACTCGGGGCCCAGCTGTGGCGCGCTCACATAAAGCCTGACCTTTTGCCCTTGGCTGGGAATTACCCTTGCCCCTCCACACTTAGAGCCCCAATGTCTAGGCCTGCTATAGAATCCTTCCCTCCCCACTTCCTGCCCTCCTCCACTATCAGGTCTTGGTCCTCTGAAGCTGCTGCACCTCTTCTTTGCATCCTAAGGAGCTTCCACCCTTTATCCTCTTGGTCTTCTCCCTCTGAACTTGTCTGCCCTCCTGATCAGGTTGCCTCAGCTTGCCTGGCTCAGATCACAGCCCTAGCACTCCCTGGTACATCCTTCTGATTATGGGGAGACTTGGGGAAAGCCTGGGCTGGGCTGGGCTGGGCTGGGCTGGGCTGGGCTGGGCTGGGCTGGGCTG